CAGGCAGCCGCGTCCCGTTACCTGGCAACAGCCTCCACGGAGACGCGTCGCTCGGAGGAGGCGGGGTCGAGCCATTCCCGTCCAATGGAGGTCAGAGGTCACAAGGTGTTGGGGTCAGAGGTTAAGGGAGGGTAAAAATTTAACTCTTCTCCTCCACCTCCCCCCATAAGCCTTTACTTCAGTGGTTAGAGGGTGTCTCAATTTTTGGTCAAAACTGAAAATTAATCAAATTCAGTCCCATGGAAACAGTGTAGAGGCAGATGTGGCACCATGGCAACAGCAAAGCTCATGATGCCATGGCAACAGCAACAACCATGGGACTAAGGGACACCTGGACAATGGCAACACCCCATCACAGCCCCATTTCCTCTCCAAAATAGCTGACTTGAAGACACATACATACAGGATATATTGTGGCTTCCTGCCTTCATCTCAGCCAGGGGCAGCCCACACCTCACCCACAAGAGACTGTTATACCTAGTCCTGACACCCCTCCACTCTAGCCTTCTGACTTGGAGCATTCATAGTGTGGAAATGGGCATTTCTATGTAGTGTGAATTGCTCTAGGGACAGCCTCTGTCATCCTACAATAAGGGACAAAATGGCCAATTTGCTTAATAGCACTCACAAGCATAACTAGCCTGGGGATTCACAGGTCCGCATGCAAGAGCTAGGGTCCAAGACCCAAAGGATGGCAGGGAGGTTGGGAAAACTCAGAGGCTGTGTCTAGACTGGCCAGTTTTTCTGGAAAATCAGCCGCTTTTCCGGAAAAACTTGCCAACTGTCTACGCTGGCCACTTGAATTTCCGCAAAAGCACTGACTTCTTACTGTAAGAAATCAATGCTTCTTCGGAAATACTATTCTTCTCCTGTTCGGGCAAAAGTCCCTTTTGCGCAAAGCTTTTGCGCAAAAGGGCCAGTGTAGACAGCTCAGATTTGTTTTCTGCAAAAAAGCCCCGATCGCGAAAATCGCGATTGGGGCTTTTTTGCGGAAAAGCGCGTCTAGCTTGGCCACAGACACTTTTCAACAAAAGCACTTTTTGCGGAAAAGCGTCTGTGACAATCTAGACACGCTTTTTCACAAAAAAGCCCTGATCGCCATTTTCGCGATCGGGCTTTTTTGCGGAAAACATATCTGAGCTGTCTACACTGGCCCTTTTGCGCAAAAGCTTTGCGCAAAAGGGACTTTTGCACGAACAGGAGAAGAATAGTATTTCTGAAGAAGCATTGATTTCTTACAGTAAGAAGTCAGTGCTTTTGCGGAAATTCAAGTGGCCAGTGTAGACAGCTGGCAAGTTTTTCCGTAAAAGCGGCTGATTTTCCGGAAAAACTGGCCAGTCTAGACACAGCCCTGTAGTAAAGGCTCCCAAGTACTGGCTATACTAGCACCTTCTTGTCTTGTGTGGGTGAGTCCTTCATTCCACTGGCAGGACTGGAATTCTCTCCAGCCTCAACTCCCACTCCCATTATCAGGCAGGGAATGAAATCCAGACATCACTTAATCATCTGTAATCATAGCAGGGAGTTGCATAGAGACCTGTTAATAGGCAGCCCTGTGATTCTCCTGTAGCTCCACCTTTTGATGAAGGAGACAGCAAGGATTGTGAGATAGTCTACAGATGGCAGCCTGGCAGACCTCTGTGTGCTGTTCCTGTGTAAAGTGGCGCACTCCCTGAGCCATGGGGGGCAAACAGTCTCAAGAATGTGGTTGGAGCAGATTGCCTTGCATGGATATACAAGATCTCCTCCTCAGACAGTTGTACACCTACCTACAAGGTAAGTCTGCAAACATGCAAGATAGCTAACTCTACAGTCAGAATGATAACCCTGGAGTCTAACAGCCTCTGTTTACCTTCAGAGCACTAACACTAGCAACTCATGTTTTTCATATGTGTTGTGTGTCTTGTTTGGGGTACTACTAAGGACACCTACCTTCCCATTTCATAAGAACAGCTATATTGGGTCAGATCAAAGGTCCCTGTAGCTCAGTATCTTGTCTTCTGATAGTAGCCAATGCCAGGTGCACCAAGGGGAATGAACAGAACAGGTACTCATCAAGTGGCCCATTCCCCGTTGCTCATTCCAGCTTTTGGCAAACAGAGGCTAGGTAACACTATCGATATCCATCCTGGCTAACAGCCATTGATGGACCCTATCCTCCATGAATTTGTCTAGTCTCTTTTAAGCCCTGTTATAGACTTGGCCTTCACAACATCCTCTGGCAAAAAGTTTCACAGGTTGACTAAGTATTGTGTGAAGAAATACTTCCTTTTGTGTTTTTAAACATGCTTTCTGCCTTTTCATTTGGTATTTTTAGTTTTTAATGTTATGAGAAGGCTTAAATAGCACTTTCTTATTTACTTTCTCCACACCAGTCATGATTTCAGAGACCTCAGTCATAACCTCCTCTTAGTCATCTCTTTTCCAAGCTGAAAAGTCACAGTCTCCCCTTGTATGGAAGCCATTCCATACCATAAATCATCCCCTATATAAACCAATAAAACCCTGTGAATCCCACCCACTGTGGTGTAATTTTTATTGATTTTGTTATTTATCTTGGCTAGTAGGGGAACATTTGAGTGAAGCAGTCAAGTTTGGATGCCCATTGTATTGGACACTCTACAGACAGAAGATGCCCATTAAGCTTACATTGTAGTTTTAACACAAGAAGCAATAAGTGAGTGAAAGATGAGAGTAAAGGTAATGAGATCCTGTGCTGCATATGGATTTATATCCACAGACTGACAACTCAAAATTACTTAGAGAATTTTTAATTATATGTAAAAATTCCTTACCAAATATAACTTCCTGGATTCCCTGCACATGTCCTCTCCCACTCATGCCTGGGTAAAAAATGAACCTGGGATTGCTGCCTATCACTGTTATATTTGGTTGGTCTGTCCCTTCTATACAAATAAACTATTCTCAATTGTCCCTCTACCAAGCATTATTAAATGTAGCATTAGCCCTGGGATGCACTGTCTGGTGAAAGGAATCAGATTGATAACCCTGGACACTAACAGCCTCTACTTAACTTGAGATCATCACAGGCAGTAGCAACTCACATTTTTCATATGCATTGTCATCTCATTCTGAGCTTACCTATAGGAGTAAGAGAGACATTCAATAGCCATAGTACATTTAGTCTTTGGTTTCTCTGCTGAGACTGCTAGCTACACCAATTGTTATGGTGATTTTTATTATGTGGCCACCTGTCCACTGGGAATTGGACTGAGACCTCCAACTCAATTCACAAGTCAGTCACCTGAACGTGGTAATGACATTCTGTCTCTATCCTCCACAACTGGATTCAAACCAGATGCCAAAAGCTGAAAGACTCTTTAGCCTATTACTGATCCTCTAAGTTACCTAGTCTCCCATCGCTGCCTGTCTTGACTGAAGATTATCGAAAAGGAAATCTATAGCTTAAGAAAATTCTTCCAAGTTCAATAAAGCCTGATGGGTAACTGTACTCTGCCTTCCTTTGTCCTGACCCCAATTACTAAACACTGATAAGGATCAGGAAGTAAGTGGCTGTATTATTTAACAAATGAAAGGTCAAAAGCACTGCCATTCAGCAAGGCCAAAGGTTACCATCACTGTTATTAAACAATTTGAAAGCATCAGTTGCTGTTCCAGGATAAAGCAGCTGAGCAGCCAGGCAGGCTGGGGGAAAGCATGGACATCCAACATAGTTCAGTCCAACACTTGATTGCAGGCTTAATTTCTAATACTTCTTCAAAGAGGGGAAGTTAAGTGTTCCAGGAACACACACACATCCGTTATCAGTGCAGCTAGCTCTCTTAGCTCTACCCCAAATGAGATTTCAGATCCTACCACAGGTTAACAGGATGGCTATCCTGTTAGAGTTACCGTTCATTGTCTGGTAAGATATTAAACTGAGGTCTCTTCTATCCATCTCTGGTGGGATATTAAATATCCTATGGAGGTTTTCAATAAAAAGTGCAAGGAAGATGTCAGTGTCAGGTCAAACATTTCCTCTTTGATTAGCTCAGTTCTAATGCTGAAGACTGTGTGCGGGCTATTGATGGATGCAGAATAGGCACTGCAAGCTTTACACTGCCAGTATCACTTGACTGTATAAAGTGCTTTAAGATACCTTAAATGTTAAAGGTGTTAGAGAAAAAGGGTTTCACTTCTATGGTGTTTACTTAGGGCATCACAACTCAAGAGGAAAGAATAGATGTTGACCTCATGGGAACCAGCTGGAGAGATTATTTTCATGGTGGCCAGGTCAATGTCTCCTCACCTCCTGGAATAACTTTGACCGCATCTTATGCCTCCTCTGCCCTTTGCTGAGGTGACAGATATACACCCCCTGCTCAAGGAAAATCCCACTCAGGTTGGGTGGCCAAGAAGAGAGTCTAAGTCTTCCAGAGCTCTAGAAAGGCCAGGAGGAAATACTGGCAAATCTAGAAACAGCAGGCCAGTTAAAAAAAGGCAGAGCTGAGTAAGAGTGGGACAGACTAGAGGTTCCCCAGGCAGAACCCTGAGACCTTATATTTTGAAGATTTTTTTCTCTCTTTGTTTAAAGGTACAACCAAATCTTGAGTTGCTATTTTGCTACCTGACTGATAAAAGACTGATGTCAAACTTATGTCACAGGCTATCCTGCCCCATGCTGGTGGCCAGTTGACAGACAAAAGCAGGGAGTGGCTTCAGTACCATGCATGGCGAGGAAGGGGGCACTGCAGAGCAGGCAAAGCTATCACAGTTGCCTATGGAGGCCTGCTCTAAAATGGACTATGGGGGACATTTCAGCCCAGTCCAGTGTGTCTAGTAGGCCATCATTACTCTCAGATTATACAATTAACAGAGGCAGGATCCGAATAATTGGCATGCCATGGGTTATTTCCTGGAGACGAGACTGAAGCTGGACTTAGTGGAGTGAGATGCAGGCTGAAGTTACTCATCCCAGAGTATAATGCCAGGCCTTCCTCTTGGCTGTCTCAGGAACCTAGGATTGTCATGGAAGTTTAACAAACATCCATGACTTTTAGGGATGTTTATGCATAAGTAAGCATTGGAAAGGATGAATGGGGCTGTGCATGTTAGTAAGCAGGAGAGAAGGGTACATGGCATTCTAATTAACTGGTGGTGGATGGATGAATAAGGGGGTTCATGATTGGATGGACTAATGTGGGAGGTCTATGTGAATGATGAACAATTGCACATCATCAAGAGCTTCAAAGCCAGATCCTGAGCTATGCTGAAGATGAACAGGGAACTGACAGCATAGTAATGACAGCAACAAGTGGAGATGATCCTTCTTATCACAACACAGAAGTTCTGCTCTGGCCTGGAGTTTGAATTAAATACAGGAAAACACAAGTTACTTTGTGTGCAGAGTGAGTATTGCCAGAGATTGGCTGTTTCTTTTAACTCTTTGCATGACTGTTGCCTGTATGGCTGTGAAAATTCCGCACACCTTCCAGCCATTTAAGCTTCCTCATAGATGAGACTGGAGCCTGTTCACTGATCTGTTTCTAGAATTGGAAAAGAAGGGGAGAGAAATTAAAAGTGTTCCAGAGTCTGGTATTCATTTCACATGTTTCACATCTGGAATCCTGTAGTAGCATTTTCTGTAACAAGATAGGAAAAAAACCAGGCCAGTAGGTCATGATAGGAACAGCTGTGCTGAAATAGAGGAAATCTGTGGGATAACTGTGGTCATCTTTCCCTGGAGACTCTCTTTGGCATGATATTGATACCTAATGTGCCAAGACAGCATGGTTCTCCTGGCCCAATCAGGAAGAAGACAGGCACCAGGGCCAAAGAGCTGTTTTTGTTATATCACTTAGTTACATATAGTTTTCTGTCTTTTGGCTTCATTCCACATTTTTCAGCACTTCTGTAGTGGTGTCCTTCTTCCTGCCTCCTGCTGGAGCAGAGGGATGGTGAAGAATTTGCGAAAGAAGTGCCAGTGTGTTGTTTGTATTGTCCTGAAGAGGGCATCACATGAACAGGGCAGTCTCCATTACCCTGAGAACAGACCCATTGCCAGCCAGTGTCCTCTGTAAGCTGTGTGCTTATGCAGCTGCTCAGGAGAGATTCAAATGCTGCCCCGCTGATTAGCAGAGCGCCCACAGTTAGGTTTTTTGTTTCTACTGGTGGTGCATATCCCCGCGTGTCTTGTAACATATAACATTTTATTCTACACATGGATGGAAAAGATTAGAGGGAACATTGGTGCAGACTCCTTCCCCTGTGCTCTCCATGCACCCAGAGCAAGAAACATAGGCTTCTGTGGGATGCACTACCCATCACACTGCCAGCCAAGCTGCCCACAGTATGTGGGAGAGTGTATTTGTTAAAGTGCTTCAGGGTGGGTAAATATCAAAAAGAAAGTCTTTTGTGGAATCACAGTCAGGATTCCCAAATTAAGCTTGTGGGAGGACTCAACATCTGTATTTATTTATCTGACACATTTCTAAGGAGCCCATCACCCTGGTATCTTGGGACTTTTAATACATATAATTTGAGAAAATACATTTTTTTTCTTGAATTAGGAAATAATATTCTGCTTTTCCTCATGTCACCCAATGCTACTTTCTTAAAGGATACTACAATCAAAAGAGAAGCAGCCAGGGGGAATCTGTTGTTAAGCTTTATCTTACACAAGGAGATGCGTCTCCCATCATGTCCTAACAGTGGCAAGATGTGAATTTCAGAAGATTTCTGTGTGGCGGCGCGAATTCCTGATTGAAGAACCTGCTGCCAGTAATGTGTGACCCTCCCTCGCTCGCGCCAACCACCAAAAAATCAACCCTAGGAACTGAACAACAGCCAAATCATTTCTGTGGGCTGCAACTGCTGCAGTGGGATGCAGAAAGATAAGTACTCTCTTAAGATTGTCAGCGTACTGGACAAATTAGGACTTTAAATATCATGATCAATTGCATCCAGAAGTGAACGGGCAGCCAATGGAAAGCATAGCACTGCTCTGACGTGTCTCATCAGCCTGTCCTAGAGAAAGCAGGCCAACACATTCTGTATCTTCCAGTTGGCTCCAGGTAGAATACATTGTAATAGCTTAGCATGGAAGACAGAAGTCTGGAGGACTGTTGCTATCCACACAGCTGAAAGGAAAGCACACGATCATTTGGCCAGTTGAAGAGGATAAGGGTATTTCTGGCCTACCTTTGGAGAATCCTGAGGAGAAATGAGTCTACAAAAATGCTGGGGATCACAGGGCAAATTCCATTAACTCAAAGTGATGTGATGCTTTCTCAGAATGCTTCTTCTAGCTAACTGTTTTGACACCCTTCATCTTTCTCAGGAAAACTCTTTCTAACCTGAAATTTCTGCTCAGTCTCTGATATCTGGTGATAAAAGTTTAGGCGACACTGGAACTAAGAGTTAAAGGGAGCTCTGATACATCAGTCTGCACTGCCCTTCTAATTATGTGTTTGTTTCTGTCACTGAGGGAGCACTGACAGACTGACAATGTGTTTCACCCCCAATTGTGGTACACCCCGCCCTCCCCCAGTAACCATGCCAGGTTTGTGTGGTTTCATCATTGTCACCAAATGCCTCATAACAACATGTTCAACCAACCCAGTTATCTTGTATTGTGTGGCTTCTTCTTCTGTCTGTCTTCCAATGGTACAGTCAGTTCAGGTAAATGATTGCAAGACAGGAATGGATAGATTGATAGATAAGAATATTCATTGTTCTGCAGAAAAGCGTCCATGGCCAATCTAGATGCGGTTTTCTGCAAAAAAGCCCCGATCTCCATTTTCGCGATCGGGGCTTTTTTGCGGAAAACAGTACTGTGCTGTCTACACTGGCCCTTTTGCGCAAAAGTCTTTGGCTACGTCTACACTGGCCCCTTTTCCGGAAGGGGCATGTAAATTTCACCAGTCGTAGTAGGGAAATGCGCGGGGGATTTAAATATCCCCCGCGGCATTTAAATAAAAATGTAGGAATAAGAGCCTCCGGAAAAGGGCGCTTTTTCCGGAGGATCGGGGCCAGTGTAGACGCTCTTTTCCGGCTTTTTTAAAAGCCGGAAAAAAGCGGCGGACATTTTTATTTAAATGCCGCGGGGGATATTTAAATCCCCTGCGGATTTCCCTACGATGACTCATGAAATTTACATGCCCCTTCCGGAAAA